ATTTGCTGCATTTGTATGGTTCATAGTTTATTTGCGAAAGTATTTATTACTATAAATAGGTATATATACAGGGTGAGTTTTCTACGATGTTCTCTATGGGTATCTCGGAAACTACTGGAGATAGAGAGTCGGTTAAATGGGGAAAGAATTGCAGTTTTGTGGGGTCATAAATATGCGCGTTTCAGATTTTTGAAAAAGTTCAAGGCTTACTAGATATTTCGAAAAAAAAAACAATTTCAGCTATTTTAAAAATTGTCCCTAACTCCATTATAAGCTATTTTGGACAACAAGTTTTCAGATAAAAGTTGTAGATAATCACATCCTTAATGAGACTGTGCCCCCTGTTTTCTTCTAAAGCCTGTCATTTTTGACATATGACACAAACATATGTTTTTTTAAATGGAAACCATAGTTGGCCATGACTTCATAAAAAGCGCCATTTTTTAAGCTTTTCAGCGATATAAGCTATAATATGTTTTCTTCGAAAAATTACAGAGTTATAGCCAATTCTTATCATTTTTAAACAATTTCACTTAGTTAGCCATGGAAACAAGTTTAATCGTCTTTGCTCTCAGAAATGTGAAGCTGTCACATCCAAATTTTGTAAATTAAAATAAACAAAAATTGTAAATATGAATTTTTCAAATGAAGAAAAACGTATAGATACTCCCGCATCAATAGAGTGGTTCCAACATGACTTTTATTACGACCCCCCCCCCCTCATAATGAAAGAAATGTTAAAAATTATTTATATAATAATTATGCAAACTCAGGGATAGAAAAAGGTGGACCAATTGTATGGGCCTCCTCGATCAGCTGACCTATCCATTTATAGATATATAGATTTTTTTACGCGGTATAGTTAACAATAAGGTTTACAAAAGAACTTGTGAATTAAGAGAAGCACTCGAAGTAGCGGTACGAGAGAAGTTTAATTAAGTCGACCGGTCCTTCTATGAGAATAGGTAGTAATTCATTTTTAAAAAGATGCAACTCAAAACAATGGCAGATTTTTTGAACATTTTCTAAAATAACTTAAAGTGTATGCAGTGATATTATTTTTTAAATTTTAGTTTGTGTAATGTAAATTGTAAGGAACCGTTTAGTAATATATTCTAACTTTTTATAAGTTTTATAAATCATAATAGAATAAGAATACCATGCAATCCAATTGAAATTAATCAAGAAAGATCAGAATTGGCTATAACTAAATGTAACTTTTCTAACATGTCTTGAAAGCCGTTCTCTAAAAAACGTAACATTCACCGGTTAACGTATCCTCGAAAATGTATGGTCAAGAAAAGGTCAACCAATAATCCTACACGCTTTTCTGCATTTGAAAAATAAATTTTTACAATTTTTGCTTATTTTAATTTACAAAGTTTGGATGTGACAGCTTCACATTTCCGAGAGCAAAGACGATTAACTTGCTTCCATGGCTAACTAAGTTAAGAAATTGTTTAAAAATTATAAGAATTGGCTATAACTCAGTAATGTTTCGAAGAAAACATATTTTAGCTTATATCGCTGAAAAGCTTAAAAAATGGCGCTTTTTATGAAGTCATGGCCAACTATGGTTTCCATTTAAAAAAACATATGTTTGTGTCATATGTCAAAAATGACAGGTTTTAGAAGAAAACGGAAGGCACAGTCTCATTAAAAATGTGATTATCTACAACTTTTATCTGAAAACTTTTTGTCTAAAACAGCTTATAATGGAGTTAGGGACAATTTTTAAAATAGCCGAAATTTGATTTTTCGGAAATATCTAGTAAGCCATGAATTTTTTCAAAAATCTGAAAGGCGCATATTTATGACCCCACAAAACTGCAATTCTTTCCTCATTTAATCGACTCTCTATCTCCAGTAGTTTCCGAGATACCCATAGAGAACATCGTAGGAAACTCACCCTGTATATTGTATTTATTAACTGTATATTATGTATATTTCATGTAAACTATATCATTTTTAAAATACAAACCAAAAATACGAGGAATTATTGTTTTCCATGTATTCTACAACATATTTATTAATCCGTAGTATTTAACTAGCGTGACGTCATATATCTCGCTCGAGGCTGTTCTATTAGAGACGGCATTGCGTCAGCATGACCGCAAGTTGCTAACCTAATAAAATTAACACTAGAAAAGCCCGCGGGAACTGTCAAATCCAAAGTTATTCGTTTCACAGACTATAGCAAAGTATTGTGAAAACCGCATCTTTGTACATCTATTCATAAGCGAGAAATCCTGTAAAACACACGAAAATGAGAAACCCTCTACACAAGTCAAATATTTGATACATAAAGGACATAGAGGACAAATATAATATAATTTATTATAATTTATATATTTTCTTTAAAATTTAAAAAAAATATAATTTAAAATAAGACACTCGATTCTCTTATCTCGGTATATTTTATAAGATAAAAGTTTGCGCAACTGCTACACCCTTAACTTAATGTCAACATACCGAGATAATTCTAAGACCATTAAAAATTTCTTAATATTTTTCTAAAAAAACATCTCTTTCATATTTTTTGTAATAAATAATTTCATAAACAAATTTTAATATTCTGATAAGCATTTATCTAAACAAACCAGTTGTTAGAAATATACACTTATTGTATATTATATTTCTAACAACTGATTTGTGTACAGGGTGGTCCGAATTGTATACGAGAAACTTCGGCAGCATATTCTGTAGATCAAAATAAGTAAAAAAGTCCGTATAAATGTATGTCATGTAAATACTTCGTTTCGGAGATAAAGGGTGTGGAAGTTTAATTTTTATTTCGATTTATTCCAAATAATTTCTCAACTAACGTCCATATTTATATGAAAATTGGTGTCTGAGTAATTTGATTTCGATATCAATATGACTCCTAATTGTAAGTGGTCACCTACATGTTTTTTAACTGTTTTGAAAAGTTAATAACTTTTCGTCCATACCTATATTACACTACTGTAATAAAATATACATTTCCGACGTTTTTTACGTAAAAAAGTCTCTTGGTAGAAATCGTTATGAGTCATTGCTACGAATCATTGCTATGAAAGTCATGCATCTCAAGATATTTGAATTTTTGACTTTTTGATTTTTAACTCATATTTTTCGCTTTAAAAAGCTACACCTTTTGGTACCTAAATAAACGGGAATATTGATAGCGATCACATAGAAACAGGCATATAAAAATGGGAAAAACCATGCGTGGTCCATGCGTAATTTAAATTATAAAACACTTTCCTGGGCATTTATCGTTTTTCCCATGTGTTCTTCATTTGGAATCGAAATAATCAATACATGCCATCGTTGACAAGAATTAAACATGTTGAGACTAAATATTTATTAGACTGAAATAATACATTTGAAATGGTTTGTGTCAAAGGTTCAATAGAAACGGTTTATCATAATTTTTACCAGAGAAATGTATAATAAATTTAAAAATTGGCGCCGGGAGGCACGTATAGCCGCCCATACTAAAATATGTTAATAAAAAGTTGATAGGCAGTTCTTTTAGTTTCAAAGTAAAGGAATTTTTCCAATTTTGGTTCGCGGTTATTTCCCCTATCCGCCAGCTGGAATCGCGTCCGATGGGAGTTTGGATTGCAAATTTTATAGTTAAATAAACTAAAAAATCTTGCATAAAAATTCTTTCGCTTAGGCGTTTAGGTCTATTGACTGTAAAGAATTGATTAGGTGTCTCAAATTTCAAAAAAGGTAACCTCTAAGACTGATGTCACACTCACCAAACTTTCATGTGAAAGTTATTTTTTAAATTAGTAGATAATATTGTAATCTTTGGTCACCCTTTTAAACTCAAATACCTATACAATCTACATCACAATCACAATAAAAAATTATATATAAAAAATCTCCAAAAAATATTTTTTTGAAAAAAAATTTGAGATTTATTCTAGAACTTTAATTTTGATATTTCAATCATTATTTTTTGGGCATGGTCAGGGAACATAAGTTCTGAGAAAAGTCACTGGGCCTTAGTCACTGACTGATGCTTTTATATGAAAGTCTGAATATTTTGTGCGCTATGATATTGTGAATGTCAGGACAGAGACCTTTTTAATAAGAAACTGTAGTATGATTAATGTAGGATTGAAAAAAATTAAAAACTCAAAAATGGCTGAATAGTGACTGATGCCCATTTTAACAAATCATGATTCATTTTTTGAATTATTCACACATAATCATTTAGTATAATGATGTAATGTCCCATCAAAAACTATATTTCCTTTTCTACTTCGCCCAGTTATATGTAATAAACATACCATATGATAAACAGCCACTGGCATCCACTGGGCTGTGTTCAGGTATTGAAGACGACAATCTGTTTAGATGTGACATAACAACCTAGAGGTGTTTGTTCTTGTTTCACTACATTAAAATTATATTAGGATGTTTCTCTCTCTAAAATAAGAATATCCTTTATTTTAGAACGTCGAAGGACGTAAATTTTATGTCCAGAGTGCATCTATCCTGAATATCTGAACGCAGCCCTGGAGTTACCAAAAAAAAGGGCATTTGTAAAGTAACTGAACACCGTTTTTTTTAATGGTATTTCTAAACATTCATTCATCATTTTTACTGACCAATAGTTTTATTCTGGTTTTATTTTAGTGACAAAATTAATGGGTCAATATCACATTAAATTCAGTCAATATTATTTTAAAAATATATTTTACATGTAAAGGAACACTTTTCATTTTAATATTTGAAATTTATATGGCGTATTTCATTATTTATAGTAAATATAAAAGTATAACGTAAAAATTTAAAAAACGTGTAACTGAATAAATAGGTATGTAAAAAATTATGTTTATATAACATAACCAAATTTTTTATCTTTTACTTGTTTCTTCATATATTTTGACCTCTTTTTTGGTTTGATAAGATAACATTCTCGTCAATTTTGTAAGTTAACAAAGCTGAAGTTTCTAATGGTTTAGTTATTCTTAATTTAATTAAATTTAAATAATTCTTACCTGACAAATGCAAAATAAATTACTGCCCCAATTGATATTAATAATAACGTAATGGTATGAGGTTTGTAAAAGAAGTCTAATGAAATATCATCTACAGCCTTTTCATTTATAGAACTAAAACTTTCGGCTCGTATTCTTGCTATATTCTTATTATTGCCCTTCATCCTAGTCACTTAGTGGCCTTTACAATCCAATAATAAACATTGTACAAAAACCCATACTAAAATACAAAATGTTATCAACTGAAATCAGATAAATTATTCTCACAAAAACTTGCCGGCTATTCATCGGCTATTTCAAAATTAATCGGGGCAATCAGGCTCAGGCATGAGAGGCCACAAATCACAAAACACATACACAAGGAGAAGTGCGAGCGCCTTGCTAAATATTGGAAAGTGAAATTGACGTTTAAATTTGACACTGTTGACAAGTCTACTGCTACTAGCGCCCCCAATATCGCTTGTAGGAACTACGGACTAGATTGGAACGCATGGCGGGAAGTTTAAAAAAATAAAAAATTTTAATTCTTCATTTATTTTTAATTATGACATACATAAAAACACAAAAAATACACCATTTTTTAAAAATATGTTTAATATCATTATCAAATATACAACAGAAATTAATTTCAACAAAATAAATTAATAAAATTAAAAGAATAATGTTACAAGTAGATCAAGAGACAAAATTAATTATAACAAAACTGAAAAAAATGGCGTCATAGATGGCTTAGAAATGAAGCCATCTATGAGTTATATAGGAAATGTCATCGATCATCATTTTTAAGCCAGCTGGACGATTATTTCAAACATACAAGCTGAGTTCGTTCATAGTGCTCTTAGAAATCTAGATAAACAGAGAATAATAAATTAAAAGTATTCCAGAGGAAAAGAGAGGAAGAACCTGTATCGTCTCTGATATCTGTCAGGGTATTGTTGAAAGTGTCATCTTTTTGCTCGAAGTTTTCAGGTCGATTAAAAAGATGACATTTACAACAATACTTTGCCGTAACTTTCACAAATATCAGAGAGAGAGTACAGGTATTGCCTCTCTTTTCCTCTGGGATGCTTTATATCTGTTGTTCTTTGTTTATCTATATTTCTCAGAGCATAATGCCGAACACGACTACAGTATATAATAATTTCAATATCCTAAGTGGAAAGAAAAAAGATCACCCTTCTGTTTTGTACTATGGTCCCTTTCTTCCGATGGCTCATCTCGTTGATATTTAGGAAGGTATCCATAAAATATATATTTTATTATCGGTCCTGGGATGAAAAAATATAAAATTCAATTTGATTTGATGATCCTTTTCTGTCACCTAAATCAGGAGAATGACAATGAGCATGTTAAGATGAAAAAAAACTTATTTATCAACACTTACCTACACGTTAGTCCAAGGAGTTTTATCAAAAACCTATATTTGCCTAAATAATTTATGTATTCAATTTACAAAGCAAACTGCAGCGTGTAAACAAAAGAAATAAAATGGCGACAAGTCAACGTCAACGACCCGACAAGGAGAAAAGTGGTGTTCGAATAACAAATTATGGGTTATACTCTGTTTTTTTTCTCAGGTAAGATTTCGACAGACGATGACAGAAGAAAAGCAGATGACGTCCCATACCAATCTATTTATTTTACTAAAAAAAGTTTCTAATAATTTTTAAGTTAACTATGGATGGGTTTAAATATAAATTCGTCATGCGTCGTCACTTGTTGTTTTTAACCAGTTTTATTGGTTTGTTTAAAAAATGACAGGTCGTATTTCAATTTTATTGGTTTGACGGAACGATGAAAGACAAACGGACGCCGATGCGTATGAACTCGCCTTTAGATTTTTGACGTTTGTCAAGGTCTTGCCAAATTATAGGTTATAATTTTGTGACAACTTTTGTCAAATACCCGCGTTTTAGAAGATGATGCATTTTGATTCGTGTTATTACGTGTGTTTTGTGTCTTTTGAAGTCAAGTGGAGGAAAAATCGAGTGAAAATTAACTGTAGAACCCAGAGCACAGTTTATGATTAATACTCACTGCCCAGGCAGAAAGTCTTATACAGATACACCAATAAAGTTACTATCTTGTCACTATCAATAAAGTTCGTATACCATCTCGTCGTAGATAAGTGCATCTCGAATATGGTAGAAGGACCATACTAAAGACATACTAAAAACTGGAGTAGCTGTAAAATATCGACACCACACAATAGGTAAATAATGGATTTTATTACTGCAGAAAAATAATGTCAAAAGGTACTGGTTTAAAAAAATTAAGATTAAAGTTAATTAATCAACCTGTGAGGTATAAAATTTGGTAAGTGTTATTATTAATAAAATAGTTTGTTTTATTTATGTTGTTTTATTTATTCCTGCGGAATATTACAAATTTGTATTTGTACATAAGTTATATTGATAAATATAATGATAAATGCGGGAAGTTTCATAAAGCTTGAAAGTAAGAAATAGTTCTTTTTTATATTTTTTTGGTATGTGGTGTCTTGTTTTTGTTTGTTTTGTATTAACACATACCGTTTTTATTAAATAAAATAACTCGATTACATTTCTTCAGTTTTAAACAGTTTTTTTCACAATATTTTGAAGTTATTTGTCAGTCAAATTTTAAATACATATATTAATTTCCTGCTATGCGTTCCAGTTGTACCAACTTATTTCTTTGTAAAATAAAATAAACTACTTTGAAATTAAAATGACAGACACATCTATCACAGTCAAGGATCTTCTCGTTGGACAGACTATACAAAAAATTGTTTTTGTCTCCTTCAAGGATATATAGAAGAAGGATATTCAACTCCCTATAGCGGGCTATGTTGGAAAATATGCCGTATTTTGTCGAGGAAGACGATTTCGTCACGACCAATGAGCGTCGAGTATTTGAAATTGAAAACATATAAATTGACGGTAACCTATGTTTTTTGACTCATTTCACTGACAGATGTGATGAGATTATTATTGTAATTTATAGATCCAAACGTTTTTGAAAAAATAATGTATTTTAAAGTTATTTCCTAGAGTTTGGTTTGGCCTTCTATATTCTGGTATTTGTCTACTAATAAATAATATCTTATTTTGTATTTCGATGTATGGAAATGCAAGTTTTGTATCTGAAGCCGCAAAGAAATTTCTGCTCTATAGTGAGAAAAATGTTATTATATCTTTTAGACGTGTAGAATTACAAAATTTCTTATTTCAGATGTTCTAAATGTGAGTGCATGTCAAAATTTAAATATATACTTGAAATATTATTTCAAGTTATATGCTTTGACATTTTTTGGAAGTAAACAAATATTGAAGAAAGTGTTGTGCCTTCACAGAATTTAAATTGGCATTAGGAATAGATTTCCTTGATTTAGTAATGATATTGCTCATAGAAATTGATAATGTGAAGAATAACAATATAGGAACATAGAATAACAAGAAAGAAATTCTAGCAGCAAGTTAGGTTATGAGATAAATTTTATTTATATAGTTTGTTTAAAGAGTTTAGTTTGAAAAAAAGGTAAAACAATTATTATTGTCCAGGTCATATTTGATAACTGTTGTTAATTGATAACATATTACAGGGACACAGTAAAAAGACAAAACATTTAGACCCTTTGAAAGAGAAATGTTTGCAATGGATATTAATAAATTCTAGCCAATTTGTACGATGTACAATGCAGGCAATATTTCTGCCTCCCCCACTATTCGCGTAAAAGAAGATGTGGGTATTGTATTTATAGGTAGTTAATGATACATGGAATATATTTCTATATTATTGCAATAACGATGTCTTTATGTTGTATTTTTTTAGAACAGATTTATTATTAGTTGGCTAGTGTGTTAGTAGGATAGCCATTGGTAGTTATAAAGTATGAAGTCGTCAGGTATTAATAATAGGAATTGATCAAAGCTTATACATTTATTGTGATATTTATATTGTGAATGTAAGTAGTTAGTTTTGGTTGTTTAATAAACCAATTAATGTGCTTATTGTGTATCTAATTAAAAGAACAATGAAAAGTTGAATACCATAGGGGTACGTATGTTATACAAAGAATTTGCATCAACATTTTTTTGGTTATATACTTGTACTGATATTTGTTTCTTGAACTAAAGAATTATACAGTACCTACTACACAATATAATAATCTGCAGCTACATAGGTAGGTAGCTGTTGGTAATTAAATTTTTTATCTAATATAATATCTAACATCAGAAATATTGTTAATTATCAACTATAAACAACTAAGAACTAGAATTATCAACTATAAACACAATATAATATACTGTATCTTAAGCAATATGTAATTATTTAACAATTATTTTTTTTGGGAAATAAAAACTGGTACTAAATTCTTTTTGACTATTTAATTTCTAAGTCACAAATAATGGTGGACAAATAGCAAGAAAATTATACAAGTAAAACATAATTTTAACTTATTTCTCTAATGGAATTTTGGTATTGATCTACTTAGTAGGATATGCAGTTTATCATATTTTTGAATATTTATATTCAATATTGTTCAGGAACAGCCCAATTACTCTGAAAAAAAAATATATGGTCAAATTCTTTGAAAAGAAACTTTTAAAATCAGTAATGATAAAAAAATATATAATTGTTGTATAGCAGAACCAGGGGACACAGAATTAGGGGAATTAACAATAGATTATTAAAAACTGCCTTCTCTTAAAAAAGTAGTATTATATGCACTTAGAAAGATCATAAAGGATATAAGTACGCATAGAAAGAAAGTAAGTATCTATACTACTGATACATATAACTATATATGAATACGATACCTACAGTATACAATATTACTAGTATAAAAATAACAGCACAGTCGGCACACTTTAAAATAAAAAAGCAGCATAATATTCAGGTATGTATATATAAGTAAAATTTTCTCAAAAATATTAGAATATGAAATAAATTGCAACTAAATTTTAATTAATAAACATAAACAAATAAAATTGTCAGTGTTATTAAAACTTTATGCAAATATATGTTACCTTAATACTTTGTCTTTAATCCTACTCTTCTGACATGGCTTTTCAAACTTATCCCCAAATCTCAATTCTTGTTATTAAGAATAATATTTATGAACTTTTGTTTCCATATTAATTTCAATATATTTGAATAAAACTGGAAAAATAATCAATATTGGCACTTGAAATTTTAATTTCTTATGTCCTTAATTATTTATATCATGTTATACATAATACTTACATAAATATTCAATTTAAAAATAGATCAGCACTTGAACGAGTGACTATAAAATAGTATATTATCAATTTCTATGAGCAATATCATTACTAAATCAAGGAAATCTATTCCTAATGCCAATTTAAATTCTGTGAAGGCACAACACTTTCTTCGATATTTG